CCGCGGGGCGGGCGCGGCGGCGGGACCCCGGCCGCGCCCTCCCCGCCGGCTCCGGCCCTGCCCGCCGCGGGGCCCGGGTCCCATCCGCTGCCCGGGCCCCGGCGCCCGCGAATGAATGGGCGCCGAGAGCGGCCCCGAGACAAGATGGCGATGCGCGCCGCCCGCGGGCCGCCGGAAGACAAAGGCCCGGCCCGCGGCGCGGAGGACCGGCGGGGACGGCGGCGGGTCGGACGGCCCCCGGCGTGGCCGAGCCGCCCCGCAGACCCGCTTCGCTCCCCGCGGCCTCCTGGCTTCCGCCGTGAACTGACACCGGGGCTTGACCCGTCGAGGCATTTAGGCATTTTTCGGGTCCTCCGAACGGCAGGGTTAAGGTTCAGAAGTGGCATCAGCTTGACGCGCTTCTTCATCTGCGGGGACGCTCTCCAGTTATGGCTTTGACATTCCCTCCCCGCAGAAAAGCAGCGATGCGAGAATTTTTATTTTGGGAAGGGGAGTCGGGCATTTACAAGCCCCAGAGTTTGGTACTGGTCTCCGGGGCAAGTAGTGTAGTGTCAGTTTGGGGGACATTGGGGTTCTCTGCGTTTTACATTGTTGTCTGACAGCAGGAATCTCAGATAATACTAGATGGTCAACAATTGCTTATGAGATTGGCTCCCCACCCCCACTTTTAGGGAATTGGACCCAGGTCCTTGCTAGGCCAGCGCTCCACCACTGAGCTACCTCTCCAGCGGTTTTACTCTGAGATAGGGACTAAGTTGCCCCGTCTGGCCTGGAATTTGGGATTCTCCTGCCTCAGCCTCCCATTACAGGCCTGCAGGGCCACATGGGAGATTAAGAAAATATGTAGATTATCTTTCATGACTAGCAAATAAATGGAAGTATTAGTTTTGTGAAAAATTCAGATCCACTTTAGAGACTGTGTAAAGTCTCTTGAGCAAGCATTGTTTTTGATGAGGTTTCTCATCAATACCACAAGTTATTTTCTGATTTGACACTATATTTTGGGGGGAGGGGCTTTTAGGTTGGAACTAGATTTTTAGTTTTCATGCTAAGATAGCCTTTTCTGAATTCTTCCGGAAGGTACATATTGCAAAAAGAAAGTGAATAAGCAGTTCCCTTTTTGCTTCCTTACTGACATTGGGTGTGTGACCAGGAATGGAACTGGTGCCCTGGATGGTCACACAGATCTGTGAGCCTCCAGAGAGCAGAATCGAGTGGCAGCTTCTGGCTTGATTTAACACAAGACTGACCTTTCTGACAATTGGTGCTGTCCAGAAATGGAATGCAGCCGGGAGGTTCAGGGTTCTGTGAGGGAGAGGCTGTCCTGCCTTGTGTGTTCACAGGTGCTGCAAGTGCTACAAGTCTTTCTCAGAAGGCAAGAGTCTGGAAAGTCAAAGTCAAGTTCTCTGGTTAAGCCTGGACCTCTCCCAGTTAGCCTGCACTGTCCTCCACTACTGGGCCCCTGTTAGCTTGCTTGGTCCTGCCCATGCTGGGCTGCCTGGCCTCAGGCTATGTCAGGACCGCCTTTCATCTTCTGTGAGGCTGTTTCCAGGGTGTCCTTATACAGAAGATTCTTTGAACTTGCAGCTTTGACTCAGAATTGACGCTGTCTTACATGAACATCTACTGGACAAAAACAGCTCCTTTTGTGTAATACCTGAGTTTACAGAAAGCTATCTTTATCTCTTCAGACCAGTCTTAAGCCAAGTGCCTGTTAGTTGCACTTTAAAAAAAGGTTTTCTCTATTTGACAGCCTTAGTTATTTCTGATTTTGGGGTAGGGGAGCTGAAATAAGTTTCCTCAGATTTAAAAAGCTACAGAATAGTGTGTTGCCTTTTTTATTTTTATTTTTTAAGTTATCAATGGACCTTTATTTTACTTAGTTATATGTGGTGCTGAGAATCGAACCCAGGGCTTCACACATGCTAGGCAAGCGCTCTACCACTGAGCTACACCCCCAGCCCACCTTTTTTATTTTTAAAGAGTAAATGTCTTTTAAGTCTTTTTTATGCCTAGAAGAGTAGTTTCTAAGCTTGGGTCATCCAGGTAGAATTATTGAACACTTGCAAAATTGATTTCATGAGGGTTTAGTTAATTTCTTGAAAAAGGTGGTATGCTCTCAGGTATGAAAGCTTTGTTACCTTTTGCTTTACTAAAAAAAAATGTGTTATCCATTCATTTTATTGGGAAAGGTATATATATATATATATATATATATATATATATATATATATATGAGAAAGGGATGTAGAAGGTCTTCCTGGTATCTCTAGACTTACTAACATCATTTGGTTTTGTTGCTAATAGTTACTTTGATGAATAATATTGATTTTGTTTTAGCAGTGCAGTATTGGCATTTATTATAGTTTCTTCATTGGATTGTTTTTCTCTGCCCGAGATTTGGCTCATGTCAGTCTCAAAATTGGATTAAATTCTTACTGTCTGTGGACTTTGGCTTTAGCATTAGTGGATTAGTAATAGATATTCTCAATTTTATTATCTGGGCTTGACCATATGGCATACCATATTTTTTTGAAACTCCTGTTTAGTGTAAGTCTCATAAGACATGGAACAAAAATTTTTAGAATCTTAACCCTGTTTTAAATTCTAACTTCAGGGCGGCTGGGGTTGTAGCTTAGTGGTAGAGCACTTGCCTAGCACACGCGTAAGGCATTGGATTTGATCCTCACCACCATATAAAAGTAAATAATTAAGTAAAGGTATTGTGTCCATCTACAACTAAAAAGAAAAAATATATTTAAAGAAGTCTAACTTCATGGAGCTAGGGTTATAGCTCAGCTGTGGAGCACTTGTCTTTGCATATGTGAGGCACTGGGTTCCATCCATCCTCGTACCACATAAAATAAATAAGTAAGTAAATAAATAAATAAATATATTGTGTCTATCTTTAAAAAAAAAAGTCTAACTTTAGGTTTGCGTTTATCTTTATTTTTTTGGTACTGGGAATTTAACCTAGGGGTGTTGTACCACTGAGCTACCTCTCCAACCCCTTTTTAAAACTTTGGGACAGGATCTTGCTAAGTTGCTCAGGGCCTTGCTATGTTGCTGAGGTTTGCATTTGATAATGAGAGTGGTTGGAGAAATTATGACGTGAACAGTTCCAGTGAACGTAGAATGAAGATAAAAGGAGATATATTATTTAGTTTTTACTTATTTTTCAAACCCAGAGCATTGTTTATGCTAGGTAAGTGCTCTGCCTCTGAGCTATATCTCCAGCCCTTTTATTGAGACAGTGTCTTGCTAAGTTGCCCAAGCTGGCCTGGAACTTGTGATCCTCCTGCCTTCCGAGTTGCTGGGATTATAGGCAAGTGCCACAACCCCTGGCAAGAACAAATTAAATTGTAATAAAGCAGAGAAATAATTTACAAATCTGAAACATTCAACAGTGAACAAAGAGCAGTTCTTGTGGACTGTGAGGAGTGTGTGTAGATGTATATGTGGGGAGATGCAGTGTCACGTTCCCTGTTCTGCACCAGGTGTGGAGGACCACACCTTTTCAAAGCTTTGCATTTGGTTGCACATCTCTCGTTTCAGAGGTAAAATCTGCAGACATTGGAACTGGCTGGTGGGTAATCGGGGACACTAACCATTTAGCCTTGTGCTCTTGGCAGTGCTGCCCTACAGGAGCCATGGTGGTCACTAGAACTACTACTGGCTTCCAGTGATGGATAAGGTTTCCATTTTATAAAGCACAGTTGCTTCCTTTTTTTTTTCAAGGGTTTATTAAATCTTCTAAATTAGAATTCTGAGAGAATCATTCCTAAAAGCTTACTAATATAAAAGAAAAGATTATCTAAGGTAATCCTTAGGGTTATTCGATTGAACTCATTTTGCTGTTGATAATAGATTATTATAAATTAATAATTAGTTGTCTAAACTTAATGCATTTATTAACAGGCTTCTCTAGCCTGTTAGCGTGGGACCCTAAGTATGGTGGACCATATGCTTGTCTGTTCCTCCTGTCTGTGTCTGTGGTTGTCTTCTGACTCAGTCCTAAGGCGTTCCCCCTGGGTTAGAGATGTAGCTCAGTGGGAGAGGATATCCTCAGGACATTTGAGGTCCTAAGTTCCATCCCTAATTCTGCGAACAAAATAAAACCAAATTCCTTGTGAGGATTACAGATTCTCAACCACTTGTCCCACTGTTGTAGTTGATACAGCTTTAAAAGTACTGGATACTTTCAAATTGATGCGTGTCAAAGCCTCTGCAGTAGGTTTCAAAATATTTGTCATAGGAATTTTGAAATAGTTCCTAAATTCTAGGGAGGAGAGGAATTCACTCATTTCTCAAAAGAGCTGGCACTGAGTTAGAACCCAGCTCTGTCACTTCACTAGTGGTGCTGGTACGTCTGGTGTTTCCTGGTCTGGAAGGGCACACAACAGCTTATCATGCTGTTGGTCTGAGTATCAAACAAGTGTGGAAAGCTCTCCGTGCAGTCTGTGAGAGTGGGTCATTCTATTGTTAGGGGCTCACTTTGTAAAATACTTAACTCTGATAGTGTTAGGTCACATTGTTAGAAGACAACTTATTGA